GCACATGGTTCGAATTCACCAGCTGCCCCACAGAGGAAAGATGGGCAGTCTCCTGTGTGATTTGCTGCCTCTGAAAACCGCTGGAGAGTCAGCTATATGTTGATTTCAACATGATGATATACAACAGCGAAGAGTACAGCGGGCAGAGGTGTGGAAAGTCCACCTCGATTAGAGGTAAGCAAGGTTGGCTCCTGTGGACAAAAAGCGGGACCAGATTCATGGTGCAATTGAGGCTTCAGAGGGCCTGTGGAGCAGGGCTGAAGCCTCTAGCTGAGACCACACCCTAGCTCAGCCTGCTCCCTGTTCCACCATCTGTTCTTCCCAGACCCCTCCAGGCAACACATTTCAGTAACTTTCAAACGAGTGCCTGTCTCAGGCTCTGCTTCAGGGGACCCAGCCTAAGCCACTCTACTCACTTTCCTTGCCCTTGATGAACCACAGAACAAGGGCCTGGCTTCCCCGGCAAGCCCTGGCTCAGGAAACCTGAATCTACAGACAAAATACATGCTGTCTGTAGACCTTGGAGAGGAGAGGAGGGGCCAGGAGCCTCGAATCCAAAAGAAACAGAAACGAGGGCTTGAAGAAAGCCTGAGAATGACCTCCTTCCGGCCGTTGGAGGGAGCACTCCGAGGCAGGGCCGCCACTTCAGTGAAGCACACCCAGCCGGATCCTTTTCTCCTTCCTCCAAGCCACCGGGTCTGCTTAAAGTCTGCGGGCAGCTCAGGTCTGCTAGACAGACAGCATTTGTAAGCAACTCTCTTCCCAGCCCAGTTAATAATTCAGGAGCCAGTGCCGGCAGCCAACCTATCATTCTAGCCCCGCTGCCACCCTCAACACCGAGCTAGTGGGCAGGAAAGGAAAAATCACCACGCTGGCTTGAAAAATGGTCCTGGCTTCAAGTGCTTGCTGGTCCCTGACGCTGGGGCGGGGGCGCATCAGGCACAGACGGAGCCACTGTGCAGACGTGGAGAGGAAGATGGAACAGTCCTGGGGCGCAGGCGGGAACACGGAGCGCTGGTGGACTTTGGGATCTGCAGATGTGTTTGTTTTGGAACAGGATGCTGTGATTGGTGGGCTGCAGGCCTTAGAGAACCCAGCTCTCGCCGTCTTGTTCAGCTATTCGTTCTTCACTCACTGGCTCGCTCATTCATTCTTGCCCATTGTGGATGCTGCCGCTGTGGATGTGGGCTTTGGGGTCCATAGATGTGTGCAGGCAGTCAGGAAATAGCTGGCCAGCGCTGACCACACATGAGTGTGGCTTGTTTCTTGGATGCGGAGACCCAAGACGTACACAGCAAAGAAAGGAGAATAGAAAGACCGTGGATGCATCATGGGCTCCACAGCTAGGTAGCCTGGTTGCAAATCTCACATCCACCACTTAGTAACTTTGACAATTTAGCACCTTTATGTCTTAGTGTCACCACAGGTAAAATAGAGTTAGCAGATGAGATTGATACAAATGACTCCTAACACTAACTCTATCCCTAGCCCACTGGAGGGCTGGCTAAGGGTCAATTTTGACTCAACAGCACACTACCACCACCACCACCACCACCACCACCACAATAACCAGATTGAAAGGGACAAGGAAGAATTTGTCCCCAGAGAGGGCAGCTGATGCTCTGGGTTCAGGTTTCTGGCTTCCAGAGAACAGAGCCAATCAAGAGCTAGTCTTGAAAGACACCTGTGTACTGTTTTGCTGTGACCACCCTCAGAGACTAAGATAAGCAGTGATTTCCAATCCCAGCGGAACACTATCATCACCTTCTGCAGTCTCCGAGGGTGATCTGTACCTCCACATTTTTAAACTCAAGTCATTTTCGGGTGCAGCCTATGTTAAGAATTCAGAGCCCAGGGCAAACTGGTGCCTTAACCTTCAGGGACGTTGATGGCCTGGTTAGGGGGCTGGCATGAAAAGTGGGAAGGACAAGCTCAGGTCGTCTGGAGGGTCTGGAAGGAGGTTCTGGAAGGACGAGGCACTAAAGCAGGAGGCAGCTTGGTCCTGGGTGTGATGATACTGTCACCGAGAAGGTGTGCAAGAGGAGCAGGTGGTCAGGGTAGGTAGTCGTCTCAGCTTGACCATGTTGTGTCATAATATCAAGCCTTCTGGCCGAGAGGTCCCAGATGTAGTTGTTCAGTGCTACCACTCTCTCTCCAGCTTTGTTTGTCTTTGTACACCTTTTGAGATAGGACAGCAATGGGGTGTCCTAAGGAGGAGACCAGGGCTCCCCTTTGTGAAAGGAAGGGCAGTGATGGAGGAAAAGGAAGTGACCAGACTTTCCCCTCAACCAGGTGCACATATAGGATAGTGAATTGCTTGCACAGGGCGGGGGGCCCCTTCTGTCCCCAGGGCTGTGAATGCTAAGCCTTGCACCACCACGCAGATTTGCTTGGAGGAAAGTCAGGGTGAGCACTCAAGAGAGATGCTCGCACTTGAGAAGGTACTCCCACTTCACACACATGGTGTCTTCACCCAAGATTGCTTGTCTTTCCTCAAATCTATCAAAACTAAAAGGCATGTTGTAGCCCCAGCCCTGTGCCCGTGACTGACCTGAAGCTGAGCCTGTGAATGGGCCCTGGCGTGGGGAAGTACGTATCCAGCCTCTTAGCAAACACTAACGCGATTTCTCCCTCCCCACCAAGATCCCATCCCTACATATCGGCAGCCGCTGTCTTCCTTTGCCTGTTAGTCTGCGAGGCAAAAACAACCCTGACTATTCTGGTACACACGGAAGGGGAAGGACGTGTTTCTTTAGTACCTGTTACCTGCCAGATACGCCATATTCAGATAGTTCATGCAATCTCCATATAATCACCTCTGTTCTCCAGATGAGGAAACTGAGGCTCATAAAGGTTAACTATGCAATCCTATTGGTGTACAGGATCGCTAGCTGAGCTCTAGGACCTTTTTATTTTTTTAAATTTTATTAATTTTAATGAACATTTACAGAGATTTTGGATTTTCATTCATTCATTGTTGCACTTTTCTCCCTGTCCAGCCCTCCTCCCACCCAGTTCGCTCCTCTCTTTGAAAAGCAGAAGAAAGATTCCTTCTTTGGTATACAATCCCACTGCCCTGAGTACACTCCACTATGCAACCTTCATTCTGAACTCTTGTGATAACATAATAGCCTATCATATATCGCTTTTAAATTATTTTCTCCCTCATATGTTTCAATGCAGTATACATAATTTATCCAGTTTTTCTCAGTCTTACCCCAACCCTGATGTCAGTCCTGTTCTACAACAGTGGCACCATGCAGTATTTGTCCTTTTGTGACTGAGATATTTCACTCAGCATACTGTCCTTTTTAAAAGAATTCTTTGTAATGTATTTGTGATCCACTCTCATTATACACTGGACCGAGAGCATATATACACACACATACAGAAATAGAGCCTTTCCTGATACCTTTTATTGTCTTTAATGCCCCTTCAGTGTTCATTCTGGTATCTAGTGGATTACTTCCTATCTTGGGCCACTGTCTCCTGGTAGACTCCCTCTGATAGATCTGTGTGGTCAGTCCAGAGGAGGACTTCATTGTCCTACAAAGAGGAGGGTCAGAGATCTCTGCTCTCTTGCCCATCTAGCCTACTCAGCCGTCTCCCGTGCGTTGGTCTCTGTCACTATTAGGCATTTATTGAGACGTTGTGCCTGACATAGGACGCTGTATTCCAAGCACCTTAGCGAAGGATGGTTGGTATCCAATGTTTTTCTCTTTGCCTCTGAGACATAAGTGGGCATCTGGGAGCATCCACTCTGCGAAGTTTTGGGGGTGAGATTGCCTGGAGCTGTGCTCATACTGAATAGTCTGAATCTCCCTTTGGCTAGTGCTCTTCAAGGATGCTACTCTCAAGAGTTCTCACTAGATGGTGTTTCTATGGCTGGTCTCACTCACATCCATTCGTGCAGTCCTTCCCTTTTGAGTCTGACTGTAGACTGTACTATGAGTGATGGTTAGAGATGGACCTCCTCATTGGACATGATGTTGTGAACCCATGGTGAGTGATGGTCCCCCTCATTGAAGATGATGCCCATGGACTCATGGTGAGTGGTGAGTGATGGTCCCCCTCATTGTAGATGATGCCCATGGACCCATGGTGAGAGATTGTTCTCCTCATTGGACATGATGCTGTGAATCCATGGTGAGTGATGTCCTCCTCACTGGAGATGATGCCTGGGGACCCATGGTGAGTGATGATCTTCTTCATTGGAAATGATGCCTGTGAACTCATGGTGAGAGATCATCCTCCTCATTGGAGATGTCTGTGGACTTGGCCCTGAACATGATGCTCATTGATCAGTGTCCGTCATAGATTCATATGTTTCAGAACTTGGCAGGACTGAGTTCTTTGTGGAAATCCGATGGATGGTGCACACACCAACCAGGTGGTTCCAGACGCGGACACTCCCAACTTTAGCTGGGACTTGTTCCTCTTGAACTTGTCAGGCTGACGTCTGTCACTTAAGGCAGTTTCACCCTGGGTGGCTCCAGCGTCAAGTAGTCTCTTCTTATCAGTAGTTGTTAATACAGTTGGCACTTGCTGCTGGGGATGATAGTGTCATGACTGAGGATTTGGAGGTATGGATGGCCCACTCTCCTGGTTTTCAGTACAAGTGGCTTCACTCTTGAGGAGGCTGTTTTGTGCTGGCTGGTCTCTGAGGTTCACAATGCTGATGTCATAACTAGAGGTTTTGACACAGATGGTCCCACCTTGAATGGGTCTTGAGATGGTGGTTCTCAGTTGAGATGGTCTCGTGATCAGTTGCTGATTTTCCTGGTAGGTGGTGTACACGTGGCCTCTCTCCTGCCGATAGTTGCGACACTCTTGGTACTACCCACGGCGCATGCTTGACACAATTGGAGTGCACTTTTGGAAGGCCCTTTCTGCTTGTCTTGGCCATGGCCACCCTGGGTGGTGTCAGGGCTTGCTGGCTCCTCCGGCTTGTTCCTTAAAAGACACTCCCATGGCTGAACGGTCTTCTCATGACAGCATACTCCTCTGGGCAGCTCCTTGTCCTCCCAAGTCTGGAGGCTATGTTTCACGACGTCCTGAGCTTTGTCATCCGGCACGTTGGTGGTGCTCTCCACCCTGAAGGTCTGGTAGCTGCTGGCCTGTGTGGAAGGCAAGCTGTCTGGGGAACAGAGCAGCCCACTGCTTACCTGGTAGTTGAGGGCACTGCTGCCCAGGCTGATGCAACTGAAGCTGGTGAGGCTGCCAACCTTGCTGCCAGTCAGGCTGCTGACCCCACTGCCCAGCAGGCTGGTCTCGCTTTGCCCTGCCAGCCTGCTGGCTCTTCTCTGCGTGGCCACCCTGCCGCCTCTTTAACTGTCTGGGAGTGTAGGCGGCGCCAAGGTGCCTGGTTTCAGTGTCGTTCACCTGGCCAGTGAGCCTTCGACTCAGGCTTTTGACTCGGCCACTGCTCACCAAGCTGATCTCACTGTTCTCCTTGTCGCCCTCGTAACCGCTGCCCACCAGGCTGATGTCACTGCAGCTCTCGGGGCTTCGGTGTCTCGTGCTCAACACATCACTCTCACCGCTCAGGAGCCCTCCCAGGTCACTGCAGGAACTTTTCCGGAGCTCCTGAGGCTCTCCCGGGTCCCGGCATAGTGACACGCGTGCCTCAAGTTCTAGGTGAGATGGCTGCAGGGTTTGATCTTGCCCCAGGCCATGCCAGACCACAGACCCCTCCTTTCTTTCCTGGTGGAAAATGGAAGGTGACTGGATTTGCTTATCCAGGAGCACAGAGTCCCTGGAGGTCCTGACGATGAGGTGATGACTTGTATGGGGAGAGATGGCGCAGCTGATAAAGGCCTCCTTTGATATCTGAGGGTTCTGATTGGCTGGTTCAGTTCCCATGGTGATGGGCCCTGTGAGGTAGAGAACAATGGTGTACTCCTACCAGTCACATCAGGGAAGGGATTGCTCAGAAGAGAGGTTCATAATGAGAAGAGAGATCCCCTTCCTGGGTACCATCAGAAGGGCCCACCCACCACGTCAGGAGGAGGAGCATATATACCCAGCAGAGCTCTTAGGAGCTGCATTTCTTTGGAATGTCCCATCATCTTCTGGGCCTCAGTTTTCCAGATGGTGTTGGAAAATATCTCCTCCTGACCAAGGGAATTGTGATGATACCTCGAGCTGGACTTAAATCTGAATTCTTTTCTGGACCCCCCAACTCCACGCGTTCCTCCTGTTGGAGGTCCAGCCACTCTGGCCACTTTGTGATTCTGAACTTTGACCTGTTGTAGGTACCCTGGCTGCTGCCTCTTCCTGGGATGTTCTTCCTTAATCTTCATCCTTCCTGCGGTCAGTTCGATGTCCCTTCCTCAGAGAGCCTTCCAGTGTGATCCCCTTGTTCTCTTTTATGTCTTTCCTCACTATCATATTAATCACAGCTTGAATAATTCTCTTTTTATGTCCTAATTATTTACTACAGCTCCCTTCATGAGAATGTAAACCCTTTATTAGAACAGAGATGTTTCTTTAGTTCTCTGTTAGAACCACATAGTCCACCACAGGGTCTGGCCATAGTTGTGTTAGGTCCTGTCAGGTTGACTCAGGTTGTTGTTGTGTGCCATCAAATCAGAACCACCCATAGCTTACCCCCTGGTGGGTTTTCAGAGGCAATTAATCGCACAGGAGGAGATTTCTCATCCTTCTTCTGCGGAGCAGCTGGTGGATTTGAACCATGTGCCTTTGGGATTACAGCATAGCCTCTTGCCTCTAGGACTTAGTAACACCACAAACAACAGATATGACCCTTTTACCTGTCTTTCACCACCATCATGCTCTCTGTCTTGCTCAAGCCATTGCTGTAGTCACAGCATCACATAGTAGGTGCTCATTAAACATGGAGTGAATGAGCTTCCCTGAGATGTTCTTCACAGCCACCTGAAGACCTTAAAAACCTGGGTTTGGATTTTCTAGCATGGTAGCTCTTTGTCCTGGATGGTCATTGAGATGACTGGGCGTGGTTGGGACTCATCTCAAAAGACTCTGAGCTACTGGTCTGGGGCAAGCTTTTGACACTAGATTTCTAAAAGCTCCCTTGATGGTTCCAAACTGGGAACCAGTGTTGAGAGTTCCTGTGCTAAAAGGAGATCCTTATGTCTAAGTGGGTTTTTAGATTTTATTTCTGGTGAAAATACACACAGCACGTCCTGTTTCCACAATATAGTTTCTAGACATAATGATCAATGACATTGGCTAGTTTTGTCACATTGTGTTGATATTCTTGCTATTTCTGTTCTAGTTGGTTCACTTCCATTCAGCTCCCTGCCTCTTGATCTTCTTATTTATGCTTTAAAAGAGCTGTTGATCCTTTGAGATATATATCTATCTCTTTATGTATGTATGTATAGCTATCTCTCTCTCATATCTATCATCTATCTATCTATCTATATATCTCTATTATCTATCTATCTATCATATCTATCATCTCTCTATCATATCTCTCTCATATCTATTATGTATATATCTCTCTATCATATCTCTATCTATCTATCTATCTATCTATCTATCTATCTATCTATCCATCTATCCACAAATATAAATAGAAGCCCTGGTGGTGGCACATTCTGTAGGGAGTTGTGTTGTTCACCCAAAGCTGCACCTCTCTGGCAGCTCCAAGAAGAAAGATGGACAGTCTGTACCCCCACCCCTCAGCCCTGTGTGCCTTCCAATAGCTTTGGAAACCCAGTGGAGGGTTAGCTATGAGTTGGTTTTGCCTCAACAGGAATTATGTGTGTCCTTAAATGTAATGCTCAAGGGTGTTACTTAGTTTAAAGGTGACTTCGGGGATAGTTTCAGTTCAAGATCTGTTAGGGTTATAATCTTGGCAGCTCTTCCTCCCTCACTGGTTCACAAACAAACCCTCCAGCTTTTTGTGGCTAAGTGTCAATCGACCTCTAGCTGATCTTCTAGCAGGTTTTCAGAGACTGTAAACCATGTGGCAGGAGGTTGCTCATCTTTCTCCCTTTGGAGCCACTGGTGAATTTGAACCATCTGTCTTTGGGTTGGCAATTTAACTCCTTATGCACTAGGCCACCACAACTCCCTCTCACTAGATCTAGGAAATTAAAGTTCTTTATGAATTTAAAATTTTGTTTCACATTTTCTCCTTTTTAAATCGGGACTCATCTATTGTATTTCTATCAGAATACTCAGTAGTGGTAGCCGGGCACCATCTATCTCCACTGATCTCAAGGTAGAAAAGACAGTCGTTCCATAGTTC